AAAAAAAGTCCCAGTTATACTAGTTGTGCCTACAATACCTTAAAAACTACTTTTCTTAAATATACTAATATTTAGATTGGTATTACTAATAAGTTTTATTATCCCGTGAATTTTAAATTTTAGCACGTATTTTACACTGAAAATTATTCGTTATATCAAACAAGTCTTGTGCAAATACTACCAATTATATTACTTATCGTTGTTTTATATCACACGTGTAAGTAGGTATGTTACTGTATGTAACAATGATATAATAATATTATTTATCTACTGTTTTCGAAAACCTTAACTGAAGTAAATGCTAAACAAGATAAGGCAACTAAACGGAGAAGAATCTTTATAATATACTATAATTTATGAATTTATAATTTAATAATATTATTATTAAGACCGGATTCGGTATTTTTGCCCAGAACTAAATTATTGTCTTTATATAAAAATATTATATACAACCAGTTTTTGACAGGTTGCTTAGAAAGTAAAGACGTTCGAAATTATTTTTAATTAATTTGTTTATCGTGTAATAATTATTTATATTATATCTTCTTTACACGCATGTTTGTTGTTCGCATAGTATTTTTTTCTCCTGTTAGTCGAAGTGTTTTTCGTTATTAATTGACCGCAAAACTTGCCACACACGTAATATTAGAACAAGTTGTATAATATGTATGTTTATTCAATTATTATTATTATTATTATTATTATTATTATCCTTTTTATTTTATTATCGTATATTTCTTGTGGCTTGTTTACGTGTGCTGTATTATTGTACACAAACATTAAAAATAATATGAAACATTTAAAAACCGTTAAAAAATTATCGACCGTCGTTTCGCTTCGTAGTATTATCGATTTAACAGTTTTAATAATTTTAACGTTTTCTTCATTGTAACACGTTGGTTTTGACTGCTTGTTATTTTAATGAATTATTAAATACACAGCAGTGCCACGTCAATTATTGTGTCAAAACTGAGATGATTTTCATTTTTGTTTATCGTGACCAAGCCAAAGGTCAAAACTCTGTGTACTGATATAATATTTTATGTAACACATGGACTAATACTATTACTGAGAATTCGGTCTCATGTAACCAGACGATAAACATAATAGTTTACACCGAAAACTATAATAAAATACGTGTCTACGTATATTCATTACAGACGATCTGAATTTCTTTAAAACGTATTCTTACGAATAATTGATCTTTGTTATGCGTGCGGCGTATTTGTAATATTATTGAACATAATATTGATATTGGATTATCAACTTAATCGAATATGCGTCGTCTTCAGGTGATTAAATATTGTAATATATGTAATATGATATTAAGTGATGACAATTAACTATTATTTTTTTTCATTATTAATTAAATGTTTTGATTGGATATACGAGTAAAACTACAAAACCGTGTTTGAATAAACACACCTACGCAATCACTAGGGCTTGGAAGTTATTGCATTTACGTGTTTTTTTTTTTAGGCTATTAGATTTATTGCTAAGTAAGCTTAAAATTAATTTTACGACTACAAACAAGTAATAAAAGTTTATAGTTCATATTTTTTGCATACTTAGACGTTTTGTAGTTTTTAGAGTATATTTTTCAAATTTACTATTTTTTTAGAACATATTTGATGATTAATGATATAAAAAACAAATTCTTTATAATGTGTATTTATTTTGAGAACTTATACAAGATATTATATAGTGTTTTTCAAATTCCTAGTTGATAAACAATTTCTTGTTTTATTAATAAATATTTAATACCTACAAATTATAAATTATAAGAATATTTTTAATAAAATATTTGTATTTTTGAAAGTTGTGTGTAAAAAAAAAAAAATAAAGGCATATTTAGTACTTTTTAAGTACATCAAATTCCAAGTCCTGTAATCATCGTTGTTGTCGAAATAAAAATCGAGATTCATCGAACATTCATAGTACGTATTATAAGCGCGGATATTTGATTGAATTTTAGGAGGGGCTTAAATCTTTCTTAGCATTGTTGAAAAATAGGTACGTATATTTTAATACTTTGAATAATGTTCAATAATTTTGGAGGCTTTCGAATTTTTTTGAAAGAGCTAAGCCCCCAAGCACCCCTCAATCTCCGCTTATAGTACGTATAATATACGTCGTATATATATTATAATATGTCTTATTAAATGTATTTTATTTTGTTCACAAGCTTAAAGATATTATAAAAAAATAAATACATTTACAAATGGTAGAAAATATAAATCATTATCTTATTAATTAAACCGTCGTTTTGCATATATGATCCCCGACAAGAACGAGGTGTGTTATTTCAGTTATTTGTGGTAATATGTATTTATAAATAATAATAATATTAACAAAACCAGATCATTGCGTGTTCCGGTTATTAAAAGACCGCCGCTACCGATTTTTTATTATAACAAATAATCTGATCTTTGTAATGTTTTAACTTTTTTAAACAGTTTCTTCGGGTTTGCATATCGGCGTAGTCAATTACTATTTCCAGTGATTAATCGTCATGAACAGACAAACTATAATAACAATATAATTATTATTACACACACACGCATATCCATGAACAGTGAAAAGTCCGTTTTTATTCTACCCAACCCCAATGTATGCTCTTGTCATACACATAATTTTATATATTTTTATGGTATATACGTTTAATAATTAATTATTATCATTGCGGCTTTATAACAACTCGTTTTAACAACTTAGTCCGGTAGCCAACTATTCTTATTTTTTTCCATTTGTGATTCGTATAATTTATTAACTAACCTACGCCCCTGTTGTAAACGATAGCCACTTGAGACATGTATGTATAAATGGTAGTGTTTGAAAACACTCGCGTCTATATAGTATTTTATTTTTGTTTAAAATTTTATTTTATTTCTAATCCTTTGGCAGGCGCTTGCAAGTAATAACATTTTATAATCAGTATATATGTCTGAAACAAGATTGTCGTGTAGACCTTCCGAAAATCGATACCAGTAATATGGATAACACAATATTATAATGGCTGTATTTAATTTTTACTATATAGAATTAACTCAAAACATAATTTGTACCCAAGTCTTTAAATTGCATTTGTAGTTTGCATCAAAATTCAATTCGATTATTCTTTCAATATTACGTCCACGTTTCGATAATTGATTATAAAATATTGAGATATGATGAGAAATTAACGACACAGAAATACAGAACGTTCTATTTTAAATTCTGAACTGTTATTTCACAAACCTAATAAAATTACACCTTACTACGGTACGCCAGTATTGAATTTAAAGATGCCAAATAATAATATAATAAATATTATTTTTGTTGAAAATAAATAAATGTAATACTGTGTTATAACGATATTTTGACAGATTGGACGTAAAACTTTGTAATGATTACTGGAAAATATGATGGTTGGTAGTTAGAAATCCCAAATAATTATTATTATAGTTTCGATACAACACAGGTACCGGTGAAATAGTTAAATACATAGTTTAATATTATTGTTTATCAGTTGCATCCTTATCTCTATTACCCCCCCCCCTTATTCACCATCACGTACAGTTGAGTGTAAATATTAAAACTTTAAAAGTATTTATGATTCACATTAAAATAAAAGCCTCCGGCAAGCTCATGATAATATTCTATGCTTTAAGTTTGATAATAGGTAAATTAACTCTAACGTTAAAGTTAACATCATACAATGGATTCGGCGGAACGCAAATTTACTATGCTTTACGTTAGTTAGACAAAAACAATACTGTAAGATGACCTATTAAACACTTGTTGATTTAGTGATATTATTATTTTAGTAATTTATCGATTGTGTTCATTGTATACATTTTTAATTTTTATGTGCGCTGAAAAATTAAAGATTTTTATATTCGTTTTGATAATAATTATGTACTTATATTTATAAATATATGGTAGTAATCTAGGTTATTATGTCATTAATTTATTGCCGTCTTTCTTATTGCCCCAGGTAAACGATTGATATTTTTGAATTTTAATTAAATCCATTTTTTTTTTTTAATGATTCGGCATTAATGACTATATAAATATATATATTAATATATAATATATATTATATATAGTATATATAATATATAGGATAGTGAATTGTTTTTCTTATGTGGGTAAACATGATACGTATAAACTAGATTATTGTTATTATATACGCTTTTCTATCAGTAGATATAGGACTAGAAGGTAATTACCTATAATAACGATTGAGAATTTTGAGTAAAATATCTTTTTTTTTAATAGGTCACATACCTAGTATAAATGCATGTATATATTGTATATCAATTGAGAATGCATTATGCATCCGTGTTGGATATTCAATCAAACCGAGGATTTTTTGGGAGAGCAACCTACTTGTGAATAATATATCTACTTGTCTTATGTTAGAACACGTATACACAAGTTTTTTATACGAACGTTACAGTTAAAACAATATCATTATTAATTGAATATCATTGTTAGGTCTTTATTATTATTTTTTTTAGTTTACCAAACATAATTAACTATCAAAAAGTTTATAATGTGTACTTTTGTTTAATGTTTTTATACTATTTGAGCGAACTATATGAAGTATTCAACATAATAGAATTATTGGCGCTGAGGTTTTAATATTTAGCCACGTCATGCAGGAGTGAATTAGAACTCCTGTACTCTTTGCTGTAGGTATTTCACGTTTTACAAAATGAATAAAGAATACTATATTTTTCACTTGTTATTATAATATATTATATATTTTTAAAATGTTGTTACAAATATTTATAATTCAAAAGTAACAGACATTTAAAAATTTAAAATACCTCAGAAGCAATTTTTCCCTACTCTTCCTCTATAATCCACCCGTTTCGAGATAATTTATATCATTGTCACGTTTCTTCTATAATAATTGTTATTTGTTTATATTTTCTAACGGGTATCACATATCACAGATACAGTTTAATGTTAAACAATTTATATTAAATGTTGCTATTTTTTTTTTGCTTCAGAATGGAGATCGCATTGTCTGGGAGTTTCATCAAGTCACTTTGAACCGTGTTCCCGGTTACGGGTTTGGAATTGCAGTCAGTGGTGGCCGAGACAATCCTCATTTTGCCAATGGTGACCCTTCAATAGCCGTGTCTGATGTACTGAAGTCTGGTCCCGCCGAAGGAAAGCTCATGTGAGTGTTTTATGTATTGTTACCGAAACAGTTTATAACTTAAAACGTGGATAAATCCCCTCCCAAAATATGATATAGATACGTGTCTTTATCTGGCAAACGCTAATTTTTATTTTACATTTACAGGGTTAACGACAGGATTATGACCGCCAATGGCGTGTCACTAGACAATGTTGAATACGGTACGGCTGTTGCTGTGCTGAGAGAATGTGGCGAGAACGTAACATTGTCGTTAAGACGTCGTCTGGTGTTGCCCTCAAACACGCCACACACGCTGCGCATTCATCTAAATAAGACCAGGAAAAAAGACGGTAATAATTCTGATTATTAGACGTATTATACATAAATATTAGGTTGCAATGTATAGATTGGAGAGCTATAATATTACCGTTAATTTATAATGTATTGAATATATAAGTAAAATCGAAGTGTTCTAAATTTAATTATAAAAGTAGCGTCGTTTAGGTTGTTGTTGTGTAATATGTTTTTGTTTAAAATTATTATCATACCTACTAAATTTTTTTAATAATTATTATTTTTTGAGTTATATTAGGTATGGTTAATTCAAACCTTAAAAAAAAATTAAATAATATTAAAAAAATGATTTATAGTATTATATATTAGTTTATAGCTATGTATTAAACGTGGGATTTCATTTATTCCGCGAATAAAAGTGATTTGTATAATCAATAGTTGTTATATGTATAAATATTAAACATAATATACTCGTAATAGTCGTAATATTAAATATGTTTTATGGCGTTTAGATTTCGGAATCGTTTTGGGTAGCAGGATATTCATCAAAGAAGGGACGAAAGGCGGTGATAACAGCGTTCAGGAAGGTGACGTGTTGTTAAAAATCAACAATCATTCGGTGGTGGACGGCATGACGCTTAAAGAAGCTAGGAGACTAATCGAATCAGCCAAAGATAAACTGAGTTTGACTGTGCGCCGAGAGGGAAGTGCCAACGGACATGTCTTACAATATTCCGGTTCTTCCGAACCGACATCTCTGCACACGAAAGGTATATTAAAACAAAAATTGGGTTTGCTCTTTAGTATTTTATAACATTAAAACAATTATACAGTTTCGTCTTAAGGATGTCCATTTGTTAAATGCGAGGGTGTTTAACGTTTTAACTTGATTTGAAAAAAATCAAAATATTGTTATCATTTTGTTTCGTTTGTTTAAAATATAGAAAACAACAACTACATGGACGGCATTAACGGATCAGCGTATCCATCGCAAAATTTGTATGTACAGCCGCCCAGTAGAAGCATGCTAGAAGAAGCCAAAAGTAATTTGGCGCCACGTGGACGGTCCCGTAACCCGCTATTGGATTCTGTTTCTTTGAGTCAATTAGACAGGCCCACATCTGCCATGGACAACAACACGTCTGGTATAAAAAAAATCTACATACTATATTGTATACCATGTGCCTGTTGCTGCATAAATTGGCTTTAATTTTTTATTATAGAGTAGAACACATTCTCTTAACCTTTACATGACCTTTAACAAGAAATTCGAAATGTTTAAATTGTGTATTTAATTTGATCGACTATATATATTTAAAATTCTTAAAACTATCATGCATGTTTATTGTAAACGACAATTATATATATATATATATACTTTCAAGTTTCAAGTTAACGAATAAGTTTTAAAAGTAATTATAACATTATAATAATCAGTATTCACATTTAATGCTTGTAAAGGCAAATTTACGCTATTGCTTATTTAAGATTGTATTATATGATTTCATCCTACATTGAGGTTGCATAATATATATATACGGTATTTTATTTTATAGCTAACAATTTACATAATGGTGATTTAGGACCTACATACAACCATGGTCGTAGTAGAAGTGGTGCTGAAGATCATTCGGAACCTCCCCGACCGCCGCCACCGAGACCCGAAGGTACAAATAATACAAATATAAATCTTAAGAGCAAAGAGGAAGTAGTGACATATCCGTGTGTATTGTATCCGTCTTAGGCAGAACATTATCTGTATCCTTTATTTGGGTCTTTACAATATTTTGATTTTCAATTATGTATGAACGTTTTAATTTTTAATTTTTATACGATCGTGTACATAAAAATTAAAAAATCGTTAGAAAATAATATGAGATCAAAAATAATGTTTCTTCTTTTATTTAAGTTTGATAATAAGGTTAATTCATTGCTATACAAAAATGTAATTATAAAATGCAATCGGATAATATTTTTGAATTGCACTTTGCTCTTGGTTTAAATAACCGGTTTCTTCAATATTTGAATTTCAAAATGTGTCTATAAAATTAACTGTGCTTTTAAATTTTTTAAACATTTTGGTTAAGAAAGAATTATCAATTAATTTTATTAAATTTTCACTTTATAATTAATTTTTAGGTATAGAATTTAAAATTATTTGCAAATTGCTGTGATTTTGACGAATTTTGCCCATTTGAACTTCAAATGATTAACATATAAAATAATTATGCTTATGTATTTTTAATATTATTAAAATAATAAAAGAAAATATTTTGAAGCATTTTTATTGTTCTAATAAAATTGATAACAGACATGTAAAAAAAAAGTTTTTGTCTTTAAAAATTGATAGTGTTTAAGGGAGGGGAGTAAAAAATAAAAATAAAACTGGTTTGCCAAATTCCTAAATATGTCTCCAATTACAACTAAAAACATTCCTTTAATTACTATTTTTATTATTACTTTACAGATTATTACAGCACAACTAGACCATTTTATGAAGATACATTACCTCAAAAATCAAAACATTTAAAGTTAGTTGTTAATTATAAAATCAGTATTGATGAGCATTTAAATTAATTTTGAATTTTATCATCAGGCCTGATCCTCGGTTTATTACGTTTCAAAAAGAAGGGTCAGTTGGCATTCGATTGACAGGTGGCAACGAAGTTGGTATATTTGTTACTGCTGTACAACCAGGAAGTCCTGCATTTACCCAAGGTTTGCAACCAGGTGACAAGATATTAAAAGTAAACGATATGGATATGAAAGGAGTGACTCGTGAAGAAGCCGTGCTATTTTTGTTGAGCCTTCAAGATCAAATACATCTTATCGTTCAACACAGACGTGATCAATATGAACAAATTATGAACAATCAACGAGGCGATTCATTCCATATAAAGTAATTAATAACCAGGTTCAAGTAAATAATTCAACAGTGTTTTTTAATATGTATGTATATAACCTCTTAGGACTCACTTTGACTATGAACAACCAAACAAAGGTGAAATGAGTTTCTGCAAAGGTGATGTGTTCCATGTAATGGACACATTGCATAATGGTGTAGTTGGTTCCTGGCAAGTATTCCGTATTGGGAGAAACAATCAAGAAGTCCAAAAAGGTATAATACCGAATAAGGCTAGAGCTGAAGAACTAGCTACTGCACAGTTCAACGCTACTAAAAAAGAAATGAATGCCTCAGAAAGTAAAGGGGGTTTCTTTAGACGCCGAAAACATAATCATCGTAGATCAAAATCATTGAGCAAGGTTACAATAACATAAATATTATCCTACAAGGAAAAATATTTATTGACTTTTTATTACAGGAAAACTGGGATGATGTGGTGTTTGGGGATAGTATAAGCAAGTTTCCAGCCTATGAAAAAGTGGTGTTGAGTCATACAGGGTTTGTACGACCAGTTGTTTTATTTGGTCCGATATCGGATATTGCTCGAGAAAAACTTACCAAAGACTTCCCTGACAAATTCTTATCTCCTCGTAAGTATTAACATATTTTATATCTACATTTTGACATAATTTTCAATAATGGTAAATTGGTTTATTAGAACTTGAAAACAACACTACAGACGGTAGCAAGAAAATTAGCGGTATAATACGGTTAAGTGCTATTCGTGATATCATGGACCGAGGGAAACACGCCTTGTTAGATGTCACTCCAAATGCTGTAGACCGTTTAAACTATGCTCAATTTTATCCTATAGTCATTATGTTGCGAGCTGATAACAAACAAGTGATCAAAGAATTACGTGCTGGTTTACCAAAGTAATGAGTATTTAATTGTTTTGTGTTAACATTTTTACTAATAATTATGATATCTTATAGAACTGCACACAAGAGCAGTAAAAAGCTGTTAGAACAATGTCAAAAATTAGAAAAAGTGTGGTCACATGTATTTACTTCATCACTTACTCTAAATGGAGGAGATGCTTGGTATCGCAAGCTTAGAGAACTAATCGATAAACACCAGAGTTCTCCAACTTGGGTCAGCGAGACAAAGGTATTTTTATTAATTATTATCATATACCAATATAATATAAATATTTAAAAATAGTATTCTAAAACTATAAACATATTATTATTTATAGACTGTAGACTTTCTATCAGATCTTTATTTACTTCCTATGTCATATCCATTTTGTGATCCTTATGTTATTTCTAGTGATACTGATTATGCTAGAAAACCAAATGATTTTTTTGGTTACATATAAAATTCTGATTAACTCCTTGTGTGTACTTTTGATGTTATTCTGTGTTGCATGATTAACAGTTTATTTGTAATTTAAGGATCTATTATTTGATCTTAATTAACAAAAATTATTTTTTAATTAACATTATCATACTAGATAATCATTAGTTTTTATTTTATGATATATTATTTACTTTAGATTTAGTTGCTATTTGCTAATTATTATGTCTAATATAATCACAAAAGAAATTCTTAATTTTTGTTACATTTTATCTAAATATTAAATATTATAAAAATGTTTATATTCCTATTTTCTATTAAAATTCATATTCAGTTTTAGATATATGATCATTTAATTAGATAACTTTAACTTATAAGTTTTAAGTCATAATAATATGTCCTAAATTAACGTTATTTAATTTGTGTTTGTAAATTAACTAATTTAAGTATTGTGAGTTACTAACATGTTGTTTTGTGTATGTGGCATGCATTATGTGTTCAGCCTGAAGAAAACCTGTCTGATGATTTGTTATTCCCAATGACCTCCTTACGTTTGTCATATGCATCATCTCCTGAAAGTGATATGGAGACTAGTAACACAACATTAGCATCCCCAACTTCTACTACAGCAGCCAGTCCATCTGCAATCGGTTCAAGGCTGGTCAAAAGTTCAAGCGATCCAAGTATTACAACTCAGGATGATTCAGCTATTCCTACTTATAATCCACCTCCACCATACTCACCGTCAGTTTTTAAACAAGTATGAACAATTTATTAAGTTATAATAAAAAAATGTATTAAAATAAAAAACTAATTTAAAATGTCTTTTTTATTTGAAGAAAGCCAAGATAGTTAATATCCACATTTGATAAAAAAAATTTATTTATTGTATTAACCTAATATAAATTAATTAATTTTAATAGGCAAGTTATGAGCCTCCTCAAACATTACGTATGGCTGGTCCTCCTACTCACACAACATTAATGGTAAACGGTAATGGTCCTCCAGATCTACCCCCTCGTGTTGATAGAAACACAAAACCAATGCATGGAAATCGCACTAATGGTCAAAGATCAGCCACAGATAGATTATTTAGTCCTAACGGCATGGAAGATATACCCAATTATATAAATGCAACTCCCCATCATCAAAGGACTCACACGAGCACTAGTAAACAAGTATGTTATAATTTATAATAAAATCCTTTAAAGATATTATAAAAATAATGCATATTATTTTTCAGTTGTATGATATGCATAATAGCTATGACAGTGTATCGTCATATGATAGTTATGGTGTACGCATGAATGGGGGTAGCAACGGTAGTGCTAACCTTACAGCAACTTTGTGTTCAAACTCACAGGATGATCTTAAGTCAGGCAGTAATAATACTTTAGGTAGACATCATGATCCTTATAGATTTACTAGGTCAACTCAACAACCAGTTGACACAAAAATATCAGATTATCCTAAATACAGGTCAGTAAATTCGATTTTTTTTTAAATTTTTTGAAAAACTTTCAAATTTTATTTTTAATTTTATAGGGAAATTTCAAAATTAAAAATATTACAGTTTTATAGAAGCTTGAATATTATTGACCCAATAAATGATATATCTTTTTCTCGTGAAAGATTTATTGTGTAGCTTTGATATAATACATTTTTCCTTGTAGTTTATTATAGCTTATTAATTTTTAGTAATTTTTATTATAAGTAGTGTTGTTTACTCACTTAGCACTTTGTTTGTTTGTAGACCTCCGGGTGGTACTTCTGGAGGTATGATTGAGTATGCTACTAGTAAACCCCTTCCATTGCCAAAATCACCTCCACAACAACAATCCTATAAACCTGTACCACCTCCAAAACCCAAAAACTATCGACCACCAGTACAGCAGCAACAACAACAGCAACAGCAACATCAACAGCAATATTATCAATCACCTCCTGTTGGTTTCCAACACTCAAAATCATTCAGCATGGCAGATAGTACATATTCATCACATATGTCCAATGGGGTGAATATTTTTGATAATATTTGTCTTTAATGAATCATTTACTTTTGTCAATTTTTAACATTTTAAATTTAAACCAACTATATTTAGATGCCATCATCACCTAGCAAGTACTCATCGGAATCAACTGATGTGAATACTGCTGATTCAGGTCACGGTAGTAGCTTAGATAGGGGTTATGATCGACGAGGTGGTAACGGACAACAGCCTTCTCAACAGATGGATCGTAGTCATATATACTACAAACACCATAGAGATCCAAATACATTAGATTTGACACAACATCGTGATCAACGGGGTAGTGCATTTGAATTATACAAGAAGCCATCTGTAGCTGGTGACCATAGAATGTCAAATGGAGGCGACTACAGGATGTCAAATGGTGACCACAGAATATCCAATGGGGGTGATCACAGAATGTCAAACGGTGGTGGACACTACAATGTAGATGCGCTTCGGTGACAACGACAGTATCCGGTCAGGTTTTAAAGGTTAAATCGACCGGGTTCAAATTGAGCATAAACGCTTACTTAAATATTATCTCATCGAAAATTTTATTTTATTATATAAATATTTTATATTTATAAGATGTTCATAAATTTGTTTTTTTCAATTGATGGACTGATTGACAGTAATTTATTTATTTTATTTTTTTTCGTTAAGTCTTGTATATATTATTTTTTATTTAATCATATTTTACTGATAAGTAAATACAGTTGTTTGTTATTAATTTTACAGTTATAAATCATAATTTATATCCATCAAGAGTAATTAAATTAACATAAATTGAAGTAATTTGCATATTTTACCTATAAAATGTGAATTTAATATATATTATCAAAAGTCTGAAAATTCGAGCATGCACTGAATGAACAAACCGTGCCATTCGGTTGAACAAATTAAAAAATGTCAGCCAAATTAATAATATTTGACTATTATAATATGATCAAATTTTTAAAATATATTTCTATAAATTTATTTTTTTGTTAAAAGTTCTTAAAATGTTCAATTTTTTGTGCCTTATTTGTATTTCTTGCCTTTTTAATGTATAAAAAAGCTAGGTACACAAAATACTTATAAACTATTTTATTTTCCAAAAGAATGGGAGATTAAAAATATATTTAATATTTTTGTGATTTTATATTATATGGTTTTATATTTATTTTTTATTCCTTAAGTTTTAAATTACAAGTACGCTTTAAACAATGTTATTACAATATTATAATTATTTGATGTATGAATACTTTTAATAGTTTCTATTTAATTTAAGTTTTTATTTGTATTAGATTATTTTTATTATTACTATGTTAAAATATACTTCAACTATTAATAAATATAGATACTTATGTAATTATGTTATTAGACTTATTAGATTAATTAAATATTATGTTCTGATTGAAAATGTTTTAGTAATTTTTATTGGGATTTGAAAAGAACACTGTATACAAAGTGCTATCAGTTAAACACTGTTTAATACGGGACATATACTTCCAGGTTTACTACTGATCATTATGATATGTTAAAAGGTAAGGACCACTGTTACTAAATTAGACATGCACCCTTTTTTTTTGCAATTTTCAAATTGTACACATTCTATACGGCATACTTGTAAAGTTGCTTGCTTTTTAAAAACCGAGTACCTATACATTTCTCTGGTCCAACGACATATTGAAAATATTACAACTATTTTATACAATTATTTTTCACGTATTTGCGTGACTATTTTCATAATTTGCACGCTTTTAGATTTTGAATAAAATCAAAATATTATCATGGAAGAGAAACATTTCTTCATCCCTGCCAAACATAATTACCTATGTTTACCTTTATATCAGGATTTTTTCCTATTTCAATTAGTTTTGGGCGTTTTGGCACATAATTAACACGAATGTATTACCAGATTCGAAATTCGCAGTTCACACGGCACTTCTCTGCCCTAGCTATACGTCGGTTATAGGTTTTTCAAATTTCCTCAGAGAAGTAGATATACGTATTGCAACTACAAATTTCAATAAATTGCCTACCTACTGAATTAGTGAGCAGCAGAAAGAAGAACTAACTTTAATTTTTTCTATTGGTTGTTCTACGGTACCTGTAGTATAGAGGTATTTATAATCCCTTACATTATTTATCGTTGATTTGTGTCATTCATATATATACCTATTAATATATTTTTTAATCTTTAAGCGTATTTTTACCATAGTAACGAATGCTACAATAGGTTTGCTAACTGTCCAGCGATCACCATTTTACGTCAAAAATATAACTATTATTTATTAGTTATTACTGTAGGACTCGGAAGTTGATGACCTTAAAAACAATAAAAAGTTACCATAAAAATGGCAAAAAATGTCCTAAAAAAATGATCTAAAAAAATTACAAATATTAGTTTAATATTAATAAAAATACATTTTTTTTAAATATTTTACTCTATTTTACTATAAAATTCAAAATATGACATAAAAATGACAAAAATGTCCTTAAAATAGGAAAATTAAAAAATTAAAAATATTTGTTTTATAAATGTCTGTGGTTTAAGTTGTCGGCATAATGGTCAACAAGAAACGATAAGAAATGAACTAGTGTGAAATCAGTAAAAATAACTAAAAATGTGGGAAAATGACCTAAAGATCTCAAAAAATGACTTAAAAAGTAATAAACACCAAAAAATGCAAAAAAATGCAAAATAAAAATTAGTTATTTAGATTTACATGCTTATGAAACAGATTTGTGGCCAGGAGAGCATCGTCTAAAAAGTTCCAAAAAAAAATGCAAAATGCATCAACTTCCGAGCCCTAGTTATTAGATACCTTTAATATAATTTATAGTATACGACCCTACACGGTTACAACTGATTAGCTGAACAGCGCTGCATTGCCGCCGTTAACCTGTATCATTATATAATAATACCGATTGCTTTATCGATTCCTATCTTACAATATCCAATTTTAGACTCTTACAGTACGTTTTATAATTTCAATAGCGTTTTTCATTAAAATATTGTCCACGTTGAAATTTTAATGAAATCAGTGATTACACCGATCGCAAAACTATTGATGTAAGTGTTGTAAACCACTGCGTGTACACTTCTAGTTCCTTAAAAACCAGTTTCATTAGTAGAAAGGCCCTTTTCAACTCAGTGATCATCCCAGTTACTCCTTTAACAGTAGGATCGTTACGTAGATTCTAGAATAGGTATAATGTGTTGTTATAATACAGTATCTATTCGACTATTCATTTAATTAGCATATTTCAGATCTTAAACAGTTTTATAACTCATAAGTTTCTAAAATTACCATACATATTTATTGAAACATCAAAAAGATTAACATGTATATAATCATTTAGAATAGATGTGAACCGAAATCATTTTATTTGAATTAAATAGTTATGTGTATTTTATTGTAAATAAGAAATAACATCTTTTATAATAAAAACAAAACTTTAACTTCTTATATATAAATTACATATTAAAGTTATAAGATAATAAATATTTTATTGTAATTATTGGTTCTTCTTAAAAAAAAAAAAACGTACGATAAATAATACGTTTAAATTCTGTCCTTAAAATTTTTAATAGGAGAATTCGTTATTTTTCTTAAAAAATGTACCCACACACAAAATTACGATTTTGATAATTAATGAGATTTGATTCCCTATATATTCGTTATTTTTTGTTTAAAAGTTCAATAACAGGAGGCCTTGAGTCATAGTGAGCTATACCAATGGAATTTAATGAATCAAACGATTATAGTATAATATTATTTACTATTATATTAATGGTTTCTTCTAATAAACCAATTTTGTGGCTAGTTTTTATTTGTTTATAACGTGAAACAACTCATTCTGTATTCATTGAATGGTATAGGTTCAATCAATATTAGTAATTAGTATTATTAAATATTAATAGTTTTTAAGGTCCTAACCGTTAAAAACTAAAAACAATACAAAAAATCAAGTTATCAATTTATCACATAGCATAATTTTCTGTGATTATAGTGTACCTATAGATAAAATGTTGGTACCATTTTGGATTAATATCACGTTTAAAGATATCTCAAAACGTGGTTAACATAATAATATAAATAAATAGATATTTATATATTAATAATTTTTTTAAGTTATTACAATTTATTAGATATTTATTCTAGTGGACATAAAGTTAGAAAAATGTTACTCTACTGAGTGTCCATTGGATTTATTTTTATTAATTTGAACACATAAAACATCCTTAAAAAATGACCTGTAGTGTTGCGTTTTGTATTAGTGCTTTATTATTTATTTAATATTTTCAAATGAGTAAAAAATTAAAGAACAACACGTTAGATAGATGAACTTGCCAAAATATTATAACATAATTCAACTTCTACTATAGTCTTAAAAAAATTGTAAAAACGGTATAATAAAATGTATAATTATATTAAAAACCGCACAAAATTAAAAATAATTTAACGATAAACAAGTTTTTTATTTTTATTTTTGTATAAGATTATTTTTAAATGAAATAATATAAGTGAACGAAAGGTGAATTTCCAAATGCACTTACCTACCTTATATATTTTATACAATGTATTATCAGGCCCTTACATCAAATTTTGAACTCCAGTATTATTTATTTTTTAGGTTCTTTACAAAACTTTCAATAATAAACTTTACCATAAATTACTAAAAGCCAAGAATAATAAGTCTTTTGATAATAATAATGTATTTTTATTATTTTTTACTACAATATTATTTAAATGAAGAAAAAAACAAGTTTAATTTAATTTTACTGTATTGAGAAAATACAATTAATTCTATTTTTTAAGTTAAAATTTTATTTTACGGGCTTTAAGCACAGCGAATTCAACTATGACATCATCAAAATTTATTGTTGAAGCCAATGCATTCTCCATAGATAAAAAAGCAAGTGAGTTAAATCGTTCTTTGCTCGTTGTTGATGTATGCCACATCTTCAGTGAATTTCCTAACTTACTAAAATATTTTTTTGCTTCTACTACAGTCACTAGAATAGTAAAAATATTCGGAGACTTATATACACGTTTACAACATTTGTAAATACATTTTTCGTGTAAATGATGTTAAATAGTTCGAGTAGTGACATTAAAATACTTTTTTGAAATGTTGAGGAATGTAATATAGTTTTCAAATATTACATTTAAAAAAATATATTTTCTGATAAATCTAATTAGTATTTTGTACAAGTAATTTTGTTTTAAATTCTAATTCGTCATTGGTCAGTGATAAAAAGTTAAATAATGACTCAAAAATGTTACAAATATTCTTGACCGCTTGAAATCGATGACATAATCAATAATGAAATGATCTGACAGAATAAAGTCAATTATGTAATAAATCACACTATTTCAGACTAAGTAGGTAGGTACTTTAAAAAAAAATAATGAATGAAGTTTTAAGTTTCATCAAAAAAAATTTTTTTTTTATTTATCTGTATTATATGCGAAATTTGGTATTAATTACATTTATTTTAGCTACTTACTGTGATTCGAATAAAATTGTTGGCCAACTATCTCTATAATTTGTAAGTATTCTTTAAATCTCGGAGCTAAAAGATTAATTTCTTCATCTATTCCTTTTTTTTGTAAAACATATTTTTGATTAATACACCATAATATGAGTATTTTATACTATAAATTAAAGACATAATTAAGCTTTTAAACGAGATAAAATATTTTTTCATTAATACAACTTCACTGTGATCTTTTTCTAAGAGTGTGTTGTGAACCAAGTCCATTTATTACATGATCCAATATATGTATGATACAACGTAGTTGTTTCGCAATGCGAAGAATTGTATTAATTTAAGAGCTTGATAGTTGGTAGGTACCTATTTGTATTCATACTACGAAATGGGTATTACCGTTTTCGACCAAAATTGTACCCTTCCCTTTTCGGCTGATTCATTTTTCGATCAAATTTAAAAAACACCGATTCTCTTTTTGACTAAAACAAAATTTTATGTAATGTACGTAGAAAAGTAAAATAGTTGGTATATAATATTTGTAAAATTAGGGCAATTATATAATTATATAATTTTGAAAATAATCAAAAGTATAAAATGCATAAACGTTGTAAAATAAAATGTAAAACATTATTTAAAATATATGAACATCATATTAACATTATTTTTATGTTAATACGTCACAATTTGTAATATCTATAATATTATATATTAAAGAATAAATTTAAAATACATGAGTAGGTTTTTGACATTTTAACATAAAAATTATGTTAATATATAGATATTCTTATATTTTAAATAATTTTTCAAATTTTATTTCATAAAATTTTATACAACTTATACTTTTAATAATTTTTAAAATTATAAAATTATACAATTGCCCTAATTTTACAAAAAATTATATTCAAATTATTTTATTGTTTTTACATACATTACATAAAATTTTGTTTTGGTCGAAAAATGAATCGACCAAAAAGGAAAGGGTACATTTTTGGTCAAAAACGGTCTCGTTCTAGAAATGTGTGTGAATAGATTATCTATTTACACACCTCTTAATATATTACTTTATGTTACTTTAGGTATACATTGAAAGGTATTTTATTCAATTGTAAACTAAATAATTTTAGATTTAGAAAAAATAAATCGTAAAAATAGTTGTTAAATTATCAGTTTATGACTTAGCGTACCTACATCATAAACAAGAGAAGAATATAAAAAATAAAATCATTTTCAAAAGTTTTCTATTCTAGACATAATTAAAAAAATTATATTATTATTATTATTATATTTTGTTTAACAGAGTTACAGGGTTAACACTTAAGATAAAATGAAAAAAATGGAAGTATACATTATATAGCTTTAATTTTTATACAATAATAAAAATATATTATAATATATTAAAATCTCGAGCGTTCGTTATTTTTATTATTATAATATATATATATATTATATAGTTTATTGCACTCAAAAAATATCTGTTCATACTTACTTAAAGTCTTATAATGTATCTATATATAAAATATAATTATATAATAATTGATAAGTAATATATACAAGTATTTAACAATTGGGGCCTTTCAAACTGTGAGCGGCAAAAATGTTAAAATGTAGATTAAGTTGAGTTATTTTGTAATAACCAATAAATTTGTCACACATTCACATACAATTTGAAAGACTTTATGCTATCATAGATTTTATAGCAATATAGTGTATAATGTTATGAGCTAAAATCAAAATCGAGCAAACCTGAAAAATGACCGGGTAATAATAAATTTTAATAAAAATATAATATTGCTTGGTATAATGTGCATTTTAAGAATCAAAAAAGTTAGTACATTTAATTGTAAAAATACGATAAAAATATATTTTTGAGGTGCTTACATACCAACATGATTAATTATAATATAATGATATAATTATTATCCACCTATCTGTAAAATTATACTAATTATATAAGGTTGTCTATAATACTTATAATAGTAGGAGTAGATGAAATATGATAACAACGATAAATTGATTACGTGTAATAATTTATAATTGTAACAAAATCTTACTATTAATGTCATTATGGGTTTGTCCAAATATCGTGGTTAATTCGCGTTTTGCCCGGGCATTTCTGAAGGCTTGTTCGATTTCAACTATAGCCTGTACATTACATGTTAAAAAACACTAGAGTTAGCTAATAGGTATTTAATCTATGACGCTATATAACAATGCACTATAAACCGATACTCAGTCACTCAGAGATCGTAAAATAAAAATATGAATAAACTCTATCAGTATAAAATAATAGTTATTGTTTAATAATTATTTAAAACAAATAATATAGTATAATTATATATTTGTATAATATATAAGTGTGGTTTAGTGTTTAGGTAGTTCAATACTTACTTATATATTGTAGATTTGTAGGCATATTAAATTATACAGATACACTAAATATTATTATAATGCATACAACTATTATTTGTTTGCTTATGAAATATAAATAGGTAAGAGATCAAAGAAAATAAATTAAATAATAGTTATATCAATGTATGGGTTAACATAATCATCAATTTTTATTAATAATACGAGGTGTATACCTAAACAGGTGTTGAACTATTGGCTATTTAGACGATTCGGAAGTTCCGAATAAAATGTCATCTTCTACATTATTTTGGCCATTTATTTTTACTACTTTATAAATGTTTGTAATTAAACGATTATATCTGTAATATCAATCTCCGCATAACATAAATATCAATCAAAATATAGATAACATGCAAAGCGATCAAAATTCACGTAGAAAGCATATGTCGCGACTCGCGAGTCCCTTAAGTAGAAATTGGAAAGTACCTATGAAAAGTTTAAAATAAAATGTAATATTTAAATAATTATTTTTACTTTGAGTTAAAATGCAGTCGATTTGTTTGAAGTTGAAGTATATAATATAACAGTATACACCTATATTTTATCTTGATTATTAAAATATTTTGAAATTTAATTAAATTAAGACATTTGAAGTATATCTATAATTAAGATAGAAGCTATATGATTTGCGAAAGATGTTTTTTTTTTATTAATACATAGTTAAATTACAAAAAAAAAAAAATCAAAAAAACGGTGATCAGGAAAGTATTATGGCGTTTCGAATGACTCGGGCTCACATTTAATTCCCACTTTTACTAATTTATAAATTTATCATCGAATATCAACTTATTATGAATTCATTATTTAATAATTTTTTTGATGTAAATATTTTTTATTTCATTTTTTGACATTTATTTTTAATATGTAGAAAATGGGGCTCTAAAATCCATGATCTCCTTGACGTTAAACCTTAGGGGTACAAAGAACTTTGTCTCCAAAAATCAATATATATATATATATATATATAATATTTGGTCGATTTTAAAACACCACTAATGGATTCACAACATTAATCTACATCGAAGTAGTTTGAAATAAGTTCCCGAGACACCTGCAGAGGTCAAAAAATAATATAACATTTATCACTTGGTTTACGTTTACCTTAACTTACAGATTACAAAGTACATATCGTGTAGGTATTATCGGACGAAAACGCCAGCCGTCCAGTAACCGACTCCATCGCCGGCCGTAGCGGTGGTGACCGCGTCAACTATTAACGACGGGTGATGTTGATGGTTTACTGATAATTCTTCTCCGTGATGCCGATGCTGCTGTTGTTGTAATTGTTGTTGTGATTGTGGTTGTGGTTGTGGTTGATGTTGTTGTTGCTGCTGCTGGTAGTGGTGGTGGAGTTGGTGGTGATGGTGATGGTGTTGAAGGTGGTGTTGGTGTGGGTGACGGTCGATTGTCATCTCTGGCCTCTGGTGTTGGTGATGGTTATGACGTCTACCGGCCGCCACCACAGCAGTAGACTTACAGTCTCTGCCGGATTCGGATTTGACGCCACCGCCGTCGGCCAACGATGACGTGGACGAGGAGGACGACGAAGACGAAGTGGACGACAACAGCGACGGCGACGATGTGGGCGGAGTGGTGGTCGCGTTTGCCGGCGTTGCCGCAGTCGTGACTGCCACGGCCGTAACGGACTTACCGCCGCCGTCGGTGCCGCCACCGTAAGCGCAACCGTAAGAGGAGCGACCAGCACCGTCGACGTCGGCTCCGATCGCGGGCGGCGGACCGCCGTACACCGCGGGCGTTGCACCCCCCGACGTGTGCACGTTGGCCGCCACGGTGGCAGCGGCCGCAGCAGCAGCGGCAGCAGCGGCGGCGGCCGCCGCATATCTGGTAGCCAGCTGCTGGTGGTGATGGTGATGGTGATGGTGCAGATGATGATGATGGCCAGCGGTCGAGGTCGCGATGCCGCCGTGCCCGCCAGACGTATCGGATACTGCAGCGTAGTCGTACGTGGCCGCCATGTTGAAGAGCGCCTCGGGGTCGCAAACAAATTTGTAAACGTACCGTTCGCCTGGCAAACAATTAAAGAGAGACGACCGTCACTACGCAAACAAACACAAACACCAAGTGCGGGCGTGTGCACAAACGCTGGAGCGTATACCTATCATACAATATATAATGCGTGCGCGCTGCCTTCTCGCCGCCTCTCTGCAATGAATCTGTATATGTATATACGTATGTTTAATATATGTATATATTATATGTAGGTATAATATTTATATATAATATAAATATATATATATATATTACGTTATAAGCACATTCCCGCCACCCCGTCCCACGCTAACATAATATAGGTAATATGATATTGTATATACGTACAATTATTATGTTTGTCTAAGCAAACAGTATGTATACACTGCACACACACGCCGCGGGCCACTAACGATCGCGCGCCGCGCTTACGCGTATGAAAATATTATTTTTTATTATTGTTTTCGTTATTACGATCGCGCGCATACGACGTGTGTGTACCTCTATACCAAACGCTATACATTTATTGGAAAACGGTTTGTTGTCTGTATGGAAAACGAAACGATGAGATTCTGAGATGTATGAACGCAGATTAAACATTTAAACACTGTCGCCTGACGCCGCGCCGCGATTACAAATACACGACTTAACGTATCTCTTACATGACGTACACGTAGCCGCTCGGCCACGGCCCGACTAGATTGAAGTCCGCGTATCCGTCAAAATATTCTTGACGAAAATCACGTTTTCACAACGATTTGGTTTAGGTCTTCGAAGTTTTATGCGCCCCGCGTTGTTCGTTAAGATAAATATATAACTGCTATTTATTGTCGAACAAATCGTTCGATGTGTTTTTAAAGATTTTTAAATAGGTATATTTTATAAAGATATCATATGCTTTGGACAACGAAATCGAAATCGATGGTCGTAACTCGTAGCTAAAAAATGTTAAACTGCTGCCCGGCAGAGTAAGGTGTGGGTGTGATCAACGGTTTAGATTAGTGCATATTATTTAACATAGATATATCATAAAATTGTACCCAAAATAATTATACTTATAAATAATATATAATAATTCTATATACTATAATTACTAGCTACTATAAACATAAATGTTCGTGACTCGTGGTAGGTATACCAATTAGTTGATTTATTCGACTTTGCTCGTGTTTGACAGAGTTTTTACTATTTTTTTTTTTTAGTAGGTAACTCACAGATGGTACAATGGGTGCTTTTATTTCATCGCGAAATATTTTCCAGTGACTGGAATCCTTGTAATGAAACTAACCTTTTTTTGTGGGCGTGGTATAAATTTTCAAAAAACCGTTTGACGATTGGATAAGTTATTACAGAGCAAAAATTTGACAATATTAGGACATGTAAATGCCATTAAGCTTTTCAATTAGATTTATAATTGTGTAATTCATAGGTTTGTATTAGTGCAATCGTGTCTGAGTAGTTTGTTTGTTAGTAATTATTTTATTTATTTTATAAAAATTCAATCAGAATAAAAATTAATGAAATCGTCGCAGACACTTTGCAGGTTTCATCAGGATTACGTGAAATACAATTATTTAAAACAAATCGGTTTGTTGTTTTAATTTCCGACAGTGATTTCTTTTCGAAACTAAACCCCTCGAGTAAAAACCATAAATATGTATATATATATTTATGTATATAGGTACATTAATGCTTATATATTATCTATTTGTTGCTAAATAAACGTCTATAGAGGTACATTATGCAAATTGTCGAGTGTTTGGTGATTGAGGAAGTCTGAAGATGACGGTTATATAATGAAATATATTATTATTGATGATGTAGGTTACAAGAACTTTGAGTTCTCAGAAATTACCGCCAATGACGTCCAACCGACAACCACACACAAGAAAATTAGAGAAATTTCGAAGTAACAAATTAGTATATATTAAATATGTAGTTATTAGTTATATATATTAAATAAACCATGTCTATATATTAAAATATATTGCCATTAGGTAGTCAATATTTATTACATTTACACATACACTTATAAAATACGCGGAAATTTTATCTTAAAAACTTTTTAAGGTTTTTAACTTCTATTAAGTATGGAGATGGAAGGCTTGATGTTTCGCTACTGCTGCCTAATGCCTTTGTAGGTTTTTATTAAATACTAAATGAACTAGACATTTGTATTTTTTTATACTAAAATAAATTATATTTTAAGTATTTGACCGAGTCTCGTGCACTTTGTAAATGCTTTGCTCACTGCATATCGGTAATATCTTTTGATTACTTACCGCAGTTATACTTTATCTCTGTTTCTCTCAATCACGGTTTCGAGTGATATGGATCGCGAAAATCTCTCCGTGATTTGGAATTTGGATATATGATTTTCGAAAACAATATATATTACATTTATTGTAATACCTCGTTAATCCGTCAGAACTTAATTTGACACCACGCGTGGGCGCAGCAGTATAGTTGAAGGGTCAACAATAGCTATTGTGTACGAGTATATATGTGTAAATAGCCACTATTTACGTAGGTGTTTAGCTAGACAATTAATATTCTTTGGGGATGTTGCTATTATGGTTGTTTATAAACATTTTCGTGAATTGAGTTATTTTATATTTATTTGAGGGGCTGATCTCCGATTTCACCTCCTATTTATAGAGTGATATTGCTGCTATAAATTTGTGAGTTTTATAGTTATAATTTTCTATAATTTAATAACAGTTAATTTATACAAATAATTTGGAAATTTAGAAGTGTCAATATCATAAGAATAGTGAATATATATATGATATTATATTAAGAATTGTTATAGAATGTATTCACTATCTTATTCTTTATTTTAATAAATAATAGTAACTTACATACAATTGATCATTATCACCCTATATTTACGCATTACCATCTATTATAAGTAATAAATTTAAGTAATAGAATACCTAAATTTTCTACATTTCTCGTAAGGCTGTAACAACTATATAGTATAAAAAATAATTTCAAAGAAACTGCAGTTCGTCACAATCGTTATCTTTCCGTAAGTACACTCTATATAATATCATCTTTATATTTTTAACGTGTTAATATTTGTATTTACTCACCCGCCACTTTCTGCATGATTCCCTTTTCGTAATAATATCTAAGTGACCTGCTCAATTTGTCGTAGTTCATTGCCGGTCTGTTCTTCTGCAATCCCCATCGTCTGGCTACCTATGGTCGTGCAAAAATCAATAAATTATTTAAATAAATGAATAAAATACAAATATATTTGTTTGTACAAATATCGTATAATGTATATGATATATTTTTTGTATGACAATGATTTTATACTTAGAGTTTATAAGTATTAAATGAAAAGTAAACTATAATGTCTAATACTGAAATATTTCTTTTCAGAAAACGAATGGATGATGTTGTTTTGTTTACAACATAAATTAGGTATTCAGAATATTCCAATGTATTTTTAAAATGACCAATTTAAATACAATTACGATGAGATTATATTTAAATTGTTTCACTTAATAACAATTTAGTGATTTAATTTTAATTTTTGCTCTCTTGCGGCCGGGTAGAATATATTTTACATATAATATTGTAAATTTTAATAAAGTGTCATTGTCATTTGATATTTATACGAGTACATAATATTATTCAGTAGTATGAACCTCTTCTGGTTCCACGAGCTTAAACTCCATTCCTCTTCCAGTCCATACAATACATGATGCGTTGTTTGGGTCGTCCAGCAAAGTGACCAGGAACTGCCACAGTTGCAACGCGCCCCTGCGCTGGGGTTGTGGCGGCACGGCAATTCCGGTGTACCCTGTTCCATTACCCTCGTGACCCAAAGGTACTACTGTCTTTGATTCTGAGACTTCACCTATATATACGAGCAAAAATAACGACAGTAATAACTAATAAATAATAATATTAATATTAAAATACGGTTATTTAATTATAATATCCTAATGTGATATGTATATCTTATATGTCAGGTATATTTTATGAATTGCAGTGAATTCAATAGAAAAAAATTGATATTCCATAAAAAAATCATCTTAAGGTATATTTTTAGATTAAAATATCAAATATAGTTTATAATATAAAATAGTTAAAAAAAAATATTTTAGCATTGTCAGTATTTTAAAGTTATTTATATACGTATTTATTTATTAATTCACTACCTATTAAATTATTTTCCTATTAAATATTAACTAACTTATTTTGCTACCTGCAATTTAAATGGTGCTGACAATCAATATAATGTATATTCGCTATTCAAAGATATTTATAAATTACTTATATATGACAAAATATTGATAAATATTACATAGGAACTTGACATAAACTTAAATTCTACCAATTTTTTCACATTACTATTTTGATAGAACGTATACATAGTATGTTTATTTATATGATTATATTTTTATTTATAAATTTTCAGCGATGGCATTTGTACGTGCATCACGTTAGACCTTCACCATAATCAATTTATTTAAAAACGATATACTTATTTTAAAATAATTTTGCAAATATTAACAAATTGGTTTCAGAATCACAAATATTTGCAAATTAATTTTTAGAATTTTTAAATTAAACTCCCTTTTTTTAAAATTTTTTTTTGTTTTTTACAAATCCCTTCCTTAGTGTTACAATTATTTGAAAAATATACCAATATTTCGAAAGTAATCGGAAATTATTGCAAATTGGTTTTTAAGTTTTAAAAATTAATATTTAAAAAAAAAAATTAGAGACTTTATTGGAAATAAAAAATTTGGGTTAGCATAAGTAGTATGATTTGGTATGTTCTGAAACCTGATCCTGATCTCCCGCACTTGCCGTCACCCCATCACCATCAATGACTGGTGTGACGTACATTT